GGAGCCTGTTTCAGTCTGTGACTCCCTCTCTCTCTGACCCTCCCCTGCTCACGCCGTGTGTGTCTCTCTCTCTCCTAGAAATAAATAAAAATATTTAAAAAAAAAAAAAAAAGAACTGACATACTAGGAAAGCTAGAAGTAGCTGAGAGGACATAGTATAGCACTTACTTGGATATATGACATTGAATGTTGCAGGGTTGTTAGATGCCATCTTTTATGTGGAGTCCACCAGGGTACAGAGGGCAAGGCTTCTGACCTAAAAGCACTAGACAAGACTGGGCATCACTGTGTAGCTTGGTGATAAATTTGGCTCAAGATGAGGAATGTGCTGTGAAGGTGTGGCCAAGGGAAGAGGAAATTGGAGACTAGTCAGGAGTCTGTTATGCTTCATATTCTAGTTACGGATGTATTGTTTCCATTGGCCTACATAGCATTTGAAAATGTATGTTTACTTCTTCTACAATTCCATTTTAGTTTTGGCCCACTTCAGTTATTTATCCACCTGGCTAGCCTCTAGGGGTTTGAGGTCACTATTCTTGCTCTAGGGAGTAGAGACCTACTCTAAGGATTTTAGGCAGAAGAGTGACCTGCCTAGGTTTGCATTTTGGAAAGAGAACTTGGTAACAGTATGGAAGATGGATTGGTGAGGGAAGAGAACTTGTGGAGGATCAGTTGAGATCCTGTGATCAGTTATCGCAGCTAGACAAGTCTGTCGGACCTAAAGCAGAGAAACACTGGGAATGAAGAGCTGCTTTAAAGATAGAGTTAAGTAAACTAGGTAACCGATTAAACATAGAGGTGCCAGAATGTGAGGAGAATATGATAGAGTAGCTTTTTTTTTTTTTTTTTTGAGTGCACAAGTTGAGGAGAGGGGCAGAGGAAGAGAGAGAGAGAATCTTAAGCAGACTCGTGTTCAGCAGAGCCTGACACAAGGCTTGATCCCACAACCCTGGGATCATGACCTGAGCCAAAATTGAGAGTCAGACACTCAACTGACTGAGCCACCCAGGTGCCCCCATAGAGTAGTTTTCTGACTTAGTAACTGATGAATAGAGCAACAGTGAATATTAGAAAAAGCAAACAGGTTGATGAGAAGTCAATTCAGTTTTAGGTATTCATGTAATATTCACAAGAATACAGGTAATTATTTATACTAGTGTGACACTTGGGAGAGCTTTAAGAATTGTCAGCCTTCAAATCCCCTGTGTCCTAGCTTACAGATGGTGCTATTGTGTAGGACCTCTTGGTTATACGAGGGGAAAAGGGGAAAAAGCTGTGGGAAGTTGGTCAGGGTTTGGGAGGTTAACACAAGAAGACTGCTAGACACTAATGTTTCATATACTGTACCTGCCTGTATTGAAAAATGTTTTTTCCAGGATGCCTGGGTGGCTCAGTTGGTTGAGCATCAGACTTCAGCTCAGGTCATGATCTCACAGTTCATGGGTTCAAGCCCTGTGTCTAGCTCTTTGCTAACAGCCTGGAGCCTGCTTCAGATTCTGTGTCTCCTTGTATCTCTGCCCTTCCTCTAATCACACACTCTCTCTTTCCCTCTTAAAGATAAACAGTAGACAATTTTTTTTAAAGAAAAATGTCCTTTCCCACAGTGAGTGTCAGATCATTTTGTTAATAAGCCCCTGCTCAGAACACATTCATTGCGAGGACAGAGGAGTTAGTGTTCATTTGCGCTAAATATAAATTCATGCAGGCTGCTGAGATTAGCCACAGAGGACATTATACCAACTCGTGATCTTATGATATTGAAAAATATAGATAATTTTTTATTTCTGGGGGTGTCTTAGTTGTTTCAGATGGCCGTTACAATACTATAGGTGGCTTGCAAATGACAGAAACTTTTTCTCTTGGTTCTGGAGAATGGGGAGTCCAAGAGCAAGGCACCAGCAGATCGGGTGTCTGGGTAAGAGCCCACTGTGTCCTCCTGGGGCAGGAGGAGAGGGAAGCTCTCTGTGGTCTCATTTGTGAGGGCACTAATTCCATTCACAAGAGCTCTGCCCTCATGTCCCAGTCACCTCCCAAAGGCCCCACATCTAAATACCGTCATATTTCCAGTTAAGATTTCAACAGGGGGGGCCACCTGGGTGGCTTAGTCAGTTGAGCGTCCGACTTTCGCTTAGGTCATGCTGACTGCCAGCTCAGAGCCTGGAGCCTATTTCAGAGTCTGTATCTCCCTCTCTCTCTGACCCTCCCCTGCTCACGCTGTCTCTCTCTCTCTCTCTCCTAGAAATAAAAAAAAAAAAAAAAAAAAAGATTTCAACAGGGGAATTTGGGGGGACACAAACATTCTGTTCATAACAAGGAGAAACAGAAGTCTGAGCAAAGTAGAGCAGCAAGCAGCCTCTGGTAGCTTAAGAGATACTTGTGTCTGGGGGGGAGGCACTGGAATTATTAGAAAGAAGTCTGTGACAAAATTTTACCAGCTTGGAAGTATTATTGAAGCTGTTTTTTTTTTTTAATTTTTATTTAAAAAAATTTTTTTATGTTTTATTTATTTCTGAGAGAGAGAGAGAGAGAGACAGCATGAGCAGGGGAGGGTCAGAGAGAGAGGGAGATACAGAATCTGAAACAGGCTCCAGGCTCTGAGCTAGCTGTCTGCACAGAGCCTGATGTGGGGCTTCAACCCACGGAACCGTGAGATCATGACCTGAGCCGAAGTCAGACGCTCAACTGACTGAGCCACCCAGGCGCCCCTGTTGAATCTGGTTTTTAAGTGTGATCTGCATCTGAACCACCAGGGGAACTAAAATGCAAATTCTCATCCTGCCTGCACCCCCCCCCTCCCCACCCCGCCCTGGCCAGGTCTAGTTGCTCAAAATCTTAAATTGTTTTATACCCTAGAGTAAGAACCATGCCTGAGCCCAAGACCTAAATCCTGCCAAGAGCCCAGGACCACTGTCCACTCCCCACAAGTTTAGGCCTTGTTAGAAATTTCCTCTTACCTTAGATGGTTTTTTACTACTTGGTCTTAAATTCATATCATTAGCAACATTGTTTAGCTATTTATAAATTAAATGGGATTTTTTAAAATCATTGTTGAGGATGCTTATCACTGTCTATGAACTAAAATGTCCTAAATGTCAAAAAAAGGTAGTTATTCAGTAAGTTGGAATCAGGCCTGTATAGATTAATATCAAGTTTCTGGCTTCTGCATTCTGAAACATTTGAAATTCTTCCAGATGGATTCCATTGCAATGTAAAATGATTAGTGGTTTCATAAATTGAAGTTGTTTTAAAATAATTATATGAAACATAATTTAAGATATTTTTTCTCAATTTGCTCATTTGTTTAAGTGTGCTTTAAATTGAAAACATTTTAAGAGAAAGATACTATATTGTTAGAAAAAAATTTTGCCTGAAGTAGAAATAGCTAGAATTTTGACATAAAGAATACTGGATGATCCATTTATCCTTTGAGGTTTATTGATACATGAACTTTTCTAAAGAGTAATTAAAACTGAATAACTGTTATATTTAGCATTTCTCAACCAAAGTCCTCTATTTGGATCATGAAACAAAATTATTTGAGTAATTATTTTCTCAGTCCTCCCAAGACAAGTTTGGTACATACTAGTATCATTCTAGATGCATAGATGGAAGTTAATTCTTTACATTCAGTAGATGCCTTAAGGCAGTGATCTTCAAAGGTGGGCCAAGGATAGTTTTACCTTTTTTTTAATGTTTATTTTTATTATTTTGAGCTGGGGAGAAGGGTAGAGAAAGGGAGAGAGAGAGAATCCCAAGCAGGCTCTGTGCTGTCAGTGCAGAGCCAAATGTGGGGCTCAAGTTCACCATCCAGTTTGTGAGATCATGGCCTGAGCCGAAATCAAGAATTGGATGTTTAACTGACTGAGCCACCGAGGTGCCCCAAGTTTTATATTTTTTAAATGGTAGAGGGAAAAATGTAGTCAGTTCTTAACACGTGAAAATTATATGAAATTTGGATTTTTATTGTCTATAAAGTTTTATTGGAACATAGCGACACCCATTCATTTATGTATTGTCTGACTGCTTCCCACTGTAACAGGGACTTGGGTGATTGAGGCAGCTACTGTATGGCCTGCAAAGCAAACATTATCCTGCCCTTTACAGAAAGTTTGCTGCCCCCTTTAGGGCATAGGGCTTAAGTCTCTCATAGAACTGGTTGAGAAAGTTTTCAACTATGGGGAGAAATATACTGTTTGAATTTTTTGATGTTTTATTCAGAATATTTAATTTTCAATATAATGCCAATGTCTGTTTTTCAGATTATGCCTTCCCATACATTATATTAGTATTATCTTTGGTTACTCTGGCTGTGTACATGTCGGCTTCTGAAATAGAGGTAGGAAATCTTTTTTCCTTTAAGTTTTTTTAAATAGATTTGACAACTGAATAGGAAAATAGTAGTACATAAATAATACATATGATGTGGTACTACTGATTGTTGTAGTAATCCTTGTTTAATGGCACTCAGTAGCTTTTAGCTTGTTGAGTTTATAAAAGGTTGCATATTAAACTGTATTCGCTTGGGAAGTTAATGAAGTAGTGGGCTCGACTATTCCTCATGTTGGAGAAAAAAACTATCATTTCACATAATTGACCCACATAGAAAATGTTTATTTATTGAAATGTTGAAAGTTAACACTATTTTGAAGGAAGCATAAAATGCTTTCTTGTATGTAGAATTAATTTTACACCTTATTTTACACTGGTGACCCCAACAATCATCAATAATTATATATATTCTGTACCCTTCTATATTTTGTTCCCAATTTTATTTTCTCAATTATGGATGTTTACTTTTGCACTCTAGTAACTAATGTTTTGGTGTTTGGAAAGGACGTTAATGGTCACATTAGTTTTGATACTGTTCCTGTTTTGAGACCTCCATTTTGTCTCTTTTTAGTATTTCCGTGGAAATAAAGAACTCTGAGTTATTCCTTTAACTTGAAAGGAATAAAAGAGCAAAGTGTCTTAGTTCTCGTCAGTCCTGCTTGCTAGTCTAGTGCCTGGGCACTGTCTTCAGCTGCGTACTCTGAATCCTTTCTTTAAAAAAGTTCAACCCAGAGACTATTTTGGAATCATTGTTGTTCCTCCTTTTTCTCTGACCTTAGTGAAAGAATGAAAGGGAATGGCTTTCAGGTAGAATAACAGAGGAAATACACAGAATATTTTTATGGTGATTCAAATGTTGTCATTTGTATACTGTCCCTATTTCCTTTGTAATCTTTAATCAACATTACAAGGTGTTTAAAGAAGATAAACAAATTCATTTTGTTATTTTTATCAATTCTAAGGAAAGACTGGAGGGAGGAAATGATTGGATATTTCAATAAAATAAAGTTTTTGAATTTTTGTTTATCACCTGCAACTACTGTGAATAGTTAAATTAGCTTTGAAACATTTCTCTGCCCCAGGAATCGCTCCTCTATAAAATGTTTGTGTACTTCAGTTAGACTCTATAATGAGTCAGAAACAGGGACCTGAATCAGGAAAAGAAAATCTAGTTATAGATGAGTTGATGAGTCATTCAGTAAGAGAAAGTTGGTAACAAACCTACTGCAAATTATATTTCAGTGTGTTTATTAGCACCTTTAGATACTACTTTTATAATAACTTGGTCCCTCCAATTTCTCCATATTATAGAATTGTTTTAAAGATGAAAGGAAATCACAGTGTTCATATGTCATTTCTGTTCCCTTCTAATTATCCAGGGAGCAGACTCCAGGAACACTGGAGACTGAGGAAGTTGGGTGTGTGTCCCTTCTCCTTGCCACCTGAAAAAGTCAGCTACTGTGGATCAGGGTAGGAAGCAGGCACATAGTATGGAATTCCCTTCTAGTTCATATCTCTCAGAAGAAATGGTAGTGTTTCCAGGGTTGAATGTTGGTGTGGGCTAGAACTTAGAGACACGGACTATCCCGTAGTGCTTGTATGGCTATAGGAAGCCTCAGTTTCCTCATCTGTAAAGTGTAGTAGCTAGAATGAGTGATTTCTTAGGTCCTTTTTAGGTCAAACATTGTGTAATTCTGAGGTTAAGATTTTGTATGGAAACAATATGTTTTATTTTTATTAAAGTATTAACATACAGTGTTATATTAGTTTCAGGTGTACAGTATACTCAACAATTCTATACTCCGTGTTCATCAAGATTAAGGGTATTCTTAATCCCCTTTATTTCACCCACCTCCCCTCTGGTAACCACCAGTTTGTTCTCTATATTTGAGTCTTTTTTCCCCCCTGGTCCCTTTTAATCCTTTGTTTCTTAACATATGAGTGAATTTATATGGTATTTGTCTTTCTCTCACTGGCTTACTTCATTTAGTATTATACCTTCTAGGTCCATCCATGTTGTTGCAAATGGCAAGATCTCATTCTTTTTTATGACTAAGTAATATCCCATTGTTCATCTATACCACAACTTTATCCATTCATCTATCCATAGACACTTGGGTTGCTTCCATATCTTGGCTGTGTAATTAATACTGCAGTGATCATGGAGGTGCATATTTCTTTTCAAATTAGAGTTTTTATTTTCTTTGGGTAAATACGCGCTAGTGGAATTTGGTAATTCTATTTTTAATTTTTTTGTAGAACCTCCATACTGTTTCCCACACTGGCTGCAGTAGTTGGCATTCCTGCCATCAGTACACGAGGGTCCTTTTTCTCCACATCCTTGCCAACATTTGTCATTTCTTTTTTTTTTTTAATGTTTTATTTATTTCTAGGAGAGAGAGAGACAGCGTGAGCAGGGGAGGGTCAGAGAGAGAGAGAGTCACAGACTGAAACAGGCTCCAGGCTCTGAGCTGGCAGTCAGCACAGAGCCCGACGTGGGGCTCGAACCCACGAACTGCAAGATCATGGCCTAAGTGAAAGTCAGATGCTTAACCGACTAAGCCACTCAGGCACCCCTAACATTTGTCATTTCTTATGTTTTGGATGTTAGCCACTCTGACAGGCATAAGGTGATCTCTCAAGGTAGTTTTGATTTGCATTTCTCAGACGATGAGTGATGTTGACCATCTTTCCCTGTGTCTGCTGTTCATATGTGTAACTTTTTTTGAAAACTTGTTCAGGTCCTCTGCCCATTTTTTAATCAGATTGTTTCTTACAGATATATTACTTGTAGATATACCACTTGCAAATTTCTTCTCCCCTTCATTAGATTTCCTTTTGGTTTTGTTGATGATTTCCTTCACTGTGTAAAAGCTCTTTAATTGGTATAGTCGCAGTACTTTTCCTCCTGTTTCTCTTGCCTGGGGAGACGTTATCTAGGAAAATGTTTCCTTAGCCAGTGTCAGATTACTGCCTGTTTTGTTCTAGGAACTTTATGGTTTCAGGTCTCACATTTAGATCTTTAATCCATTTTGAGTTTATTTTTGTGTGTAGGGTAAGAAAGTGGTCCAGTTTCATTCTTTTGAATGTAGGTGTACAGTTTTCACAACACTATTTAGTGAAGAGAGTATCTTTTCCCCATTGTATACTCTTGCCTCCATTGTCCTGAATTATTTTACCATATATGCATGGGTTTATTTCAGGGATTTCTATCCTGTTCCATTGATCTGTGTGTCTCTTTCTATGTCAGTACAATAGTGTTATGAAAACTGTAGCTTTGTAGTGTACCTTGAAATCTGAGCTTGTCATACTTCCAGCTTTGTTTTTCTTTCTCAAGGTTGCTTTAGCTATTTAAGGGGTTTTTTTTTTTTTGTTCCATACAAATTTTATAATTATTTGTTCTAGTTCTATAATAAATGTTGCTGTTTTGATAAGGATTGCATTAAATCAGTATATTTCTTTGGCATTAAAAACATTTTAACAATATTGGGTCTTCCAATCCATGAACATGGAAATTCTTTATCATTTGTTTGTGTCACCCTCAGTTTCTTTCTTTTTTTTTTTTTTTTTTTATTTATTTTTATTTATTTATTTTTTTTTTACAAATAGTTTATTGTCAAATTAGTTTCTACATAACACTCAGTGCTCATCCCCAAAGTGCCCTCCTTCATGCCCATCCCCCCCTCCCCCCCACATCCATCAGTCCTCAGTTTTTGTCAGCATTCAAGAGTCTCTCATGGTTTGCCTCTCTCCCTTTCCCCCACCATTTCCGCCCTTCTTCTCCCCCTTGGTCCTCCATCAAGTTCCTCCTAATCCTCCTATACGTGCAAACATATGGTATTTGTCCTTCTCTGCCTGACTTATTTCGCTCAGCATAACACCCTCAAGGTCCATCCATGTTGCTACACATGGCCAGATTTCATTGTTTCTCATTGCCATGTAGTATTCCATGGTATAGATAAACCACATCTTCTTGATCCATTCGTCTGTTGATGGACACTTAGGCTCTTTCCATGTTTTAGCTATTGTGGAGAGTGCTGCTATGAACATTGGGGTACATGTGCTCCTATGCCTCAGCATTTCTGTATCCCTTGGGTAAATTCCTAGCAGTGCTATTGCTGGGTCATAAGGGAGTTCTATTGTTAGTTTCCTGAGGAACCTCCACACTGTTTTCCAGAGGGGCTGTACCAGTTTACATTCCCACCAACAGTGCAGGAGGGTGCCCGTTTCTCCACATCCTCGCCAGCATCTAGAGTTCTCTGATTTGCTCATTTTAGCCACTCTGACTGGCGTGAGGTGGTATCTCAGTGTGGTTTTGATTTGTATTTCCCTGATGAGGAGGGATGCTGAGCATCGTTTCATGTGTCTGTTGGCCATCTGGATGTCCTCTTTGGAGAAGTGTCTGTTCATGTCTTCTGCCCATTTCTTCACTGGGTTGTTTGTTTTTCGGGCGTGGAGTTTGGTGAGTTCCTTATAGATTCTCACCCTCAGTTTCTTTCAACAGTGTTTTATAATTTTCAGGGTACAGGTCCTTCACTTCCTTGGTTAACTTTCTTCCTAGGTATTTTGTTATTTTTGTACAATGTAAATGGGATCATTTCTTAAATTTCTCATTCTGCTACTTCATTATTGGATAAAAATGCAACAGATTTCTGATTATTTATTTTGTATCCTGCAACCTCACTGAATGCATTTATCACTTCTAGTTGGTTTTTGGTGGGTCTTTATGGTTTTCTGTATAATACAGTAGAACCTTGGTTTGGTGGGTCTTTATGGTTTTCTGAATAATACAGTAGAACCGGAAACATGCTTATAATCCAAAGTACTTGTATATCCCAATGAATTTCAAGAACTTGGCTCAGTTGTGATCATGTGACATTAGGCATCATGTTACTTGTATTTCACGATACTGTTTATCAAGTTAAAATTAGAAATGTTTGCCCGTCTTGTGGAACACTCGCAGACCAAGTTACTCACAATCCAAGCTTTTACTGTATGTCATCTGCAAATAGTGTAACTTTTACTTCATATCAATTTGGATGCCTTTTATTTTTTTTCTTATATGATCACTGTAGCTAGGACTTTTGGTAATATGTTGAATACATATCGTGAGAGTGAACATCCTTGTTATGTTCTGGATCTTAGAGGAAAAGCTCTGATTTTCACCATTTAGTAAGATGTAAGCTGTGGGGTTTTCATATTTGGCCTTCACTGTGTTGAGGTATGTTCTCTCTAGACTGACTTTGTTGAGAGGTTTTATCACAAATGGATGCTGTGCTTTGTCAGATAATGCTTTTTTGCATCTGTTGAGATGGTCCTGTGGTTTTTATCCCTTCTCTCATTAATGTGATATAGTGTGTTGATTGATTTGCAAATATTGATTGAACTTGGAATAAAACCCACTTGATTGTAATTTTTTTAGTGTATTCTTCTATGTGGTTTACTAATATTTAGTTGAGGATTTTTGCATCTTCATCAGAGATAATTGTTGAGTAATTATAATAATATATATGTATATGTGTAATGTGTCTGTAGTTTTCGCTTTTTATGGTATCTTTATCTGGTTGTGGTATCAGAGTGCTGGCCTCAGAGAATAAAATGGGAAGCTTCCCTTCCTATTTTTTGGAATAGTTTGAGAAGAATGGGTATTAATTCTTTTTTTGGGGGGGGTATTATTTTTATTTTTAAAAATTTATTTGAGAGAGAGAGAGAAGGAGAGAGAGGCAAAGAGAAAGGGAGAGAGAGAATCCCCAGCAGGTTCCACATTCAGTTCTAAGCCTGACGCGGGGCTTGATCTCACAACCCTGAGATCATGACCTGAGCTGAAGTTGAATCAGATGCTTAACTGACCAAGCCACCCAGGCACCCCTTAACTCTTTTTTAAATGTTTGGTAGAATTCACCTGTGATGCCATGTGCTCCTGGACTTTAGTTTGTTGGGAGCATTTTGATTACTGATTCCATTTCATTGATAGTACTTTTCCTGATTCTGTTTTGGGAGGTTTTATGTTTCGAGGAATGTATCCATTTCTTCAATGGTGTCCAGTTTATTGGCATATAATTTTTCATAATATTCTCTTATAATCCCTTGTATTTCAGTGGCATTAGTTATTTCTCCTTTTCTAGTTTTATCTCAGACCTCTCTTTTCTTGATGAGTCTGGCTAATGGTTATCAATTTTGTTGATCTTCCAAAGAACCAGCTCATGGCTTGACTGATCTATTTTTCTTTTTAACGTCTCTTTGATTTATTTATGCTCTAGGCTTTATTATTTTATTCCTTCTACTGGCTATGGGCTTTGTTTTTCTAGCTTGCTTGAAAAGGTTTGAAATGGTTCTTCTTGAGGTAGTCCTGTTGCTATCATGTTCTCCCTCAGAACGACTTTTGCCACATCCCAGTGATTTGAACCATTGTGGTTTTCATTTGTCTCATGTATTTTTTTATTCTGTCTTTGGTATCTTGGTTGACCCATTCATTGTGAATAGCATGTTATTTAGCCTCCATGTATTTGTGTTTCTAGATTTTTTCCTTGTGAGTTCTAGTTCCATACCTTTGTGGTTAGAAAGATGCATATGATTTTAATCTTTTTAAGCTTATTGAGACTTGTTTTGTAGTCTAACACGTGATCCATTCTGGAGAAGGTCCCATGTGTACTTGGAAAGAATGTGTAATCCACTGTTTTTGGATGGAATACCCTGAATATATCTGTATGCCCATCTGGTCTTACTTGTCATGCAAAGCCACTGGTCTTGTTGATTTCTGTCTGGATGATGTATCCATTGATGTACATAGAGGGTTGAAATCAACTATTAGTGTATTACTGTCATTTTTCTTCCTTTGTATCTGTTAATAGTTGCTTTATGTATTTAGGTGCTTCCAGGTTGGGTGCATAGATATTTATAATTGTTATATCCTCTTGTTGGATTGTTTCTTTATTATGATGTGTCCCTTTCCGTCTAGGTACAGACTTTGTTTTAAAGTCTATTTTGTCCAGTATAAGTATTGCTATTCTAGCTTCCTTTTTTTTTTTTAATTTTCTATTTTTTAATGTTTATTATTGAGAGGGAGGGGCAGAGAGAAGGGGAGACAGAATCTGAAGCAGGCTCCAGGCTCTGAGCTGTCAGCACAGAGCCTGACAACGCGGGGCTCAAACTCCCAAACCGTGAGATCATGACCTGAGCCAAAGTCGGATGCTTAACTGACTGAGCCACCCATGTGCCCCTCCAGGTTTCTTTTCTATTTGCATAATGTTTTTCCATTCCTTCACGTTCAATATGCATGTGTCTTTAAGTCTGAAGTGTCTGTTAAAAGCAGCACTTAGATGCGTTTTGGTTTTTTATCCACTTAGGATCCTATGTCTTTTGATTGCAGCATTTAGTCCATTTGTACTCAAAATAATTATTGATAAGTATGCTTAAGGCCATTTTCTTAGTTTTACTACTTTTGTAGTTTTTTGCTCCTCTTTCTCTGCCCTTGTGGTTTGATGGCTTTAGTGTTATGTTTGGAGTCCTTTCTATTTACATATGTATTACAGGTTTTTGATCTGTGGTTACCGTTAATATATAACTCCTTATGTGTATAGCAGTCTGTATTAAGTTGTGGGTCACTTTAGTTTGAACGCATTCTAAAAGCACTAAATTTTTGCTTCCCTCCCCTGCATTTTATGTATATGATCATACTTTGCATCCTTTTATGAATCCCTGGTTATTATAGTTACAATTGATTTTACTGCTTTTGTGCATTCATTTTCATACTGGTTTTATATGTGATTAATCTTTTATTATATGTTTACATTCATCTGTGACATTTTTTTCCTTTTCCTAATTTTCTTCTGATTATGGGCTTTTCTTCCCACTCAAAGAATTCCCTTGAATATTTCTTGTAAGGCTGGTTTAGTGGTGTTGCACTCCTTTAACTTTTGTCTGGGAAACTCTTCTTCTCTTCTGAATGGTAACTTTGCTGGCTATTTTTTTTTTTTTCCTTTTAGCACTTTGAATATATTATGCCACTCCTTTAGGCCTTCAGAGTTTTTGCTGAAAAATCAGCTAATCGGCTTATGGAGTTTTCTTTTATATGTGCTTGCTTTCCTTTCTCTTGCTGCATGTAAAATCTCTATCACTACTTTTGCTATTTTAATTACTATGTGTCTTGGTGTGGACCTTGGTTTAATTTTGTTAGGTGTTCTCTGTGCCTCCTGCATCCAGATGTCTATTTCCTTCCCCAGATTAGGGAAGTTTTCCACTATTATTTCTTCAAACTTTCTGCCCCTTTTCTCTCTCTTCTCCTTCTAGGATCCCTATAAGGTGAATATTATGCTTGGTGATATTACTGAGTCCCATAACCTATTCTTACTTTTTATTGTATCTTTTTCTGTTTGCTATTCAGCGTGGCTGCTTTCTATTATATCCATCTTCCAAATCACTGATCCCTTCGTCTCCTTCCCTAAATTAATTCCCTCTCATGTATTTTTTATCCTAGTTGTTGAGTTCTTCATCTCTGATATTTTCTATCTATCTCTATTGAGGGTCTCACTGAGATCTTCCACTCTTTTCTCAAGTCCAGTGAATATCCCTATAACCATTACTTTATCATGCATATTATCTGTTTCATGTGGGACATATTCCTCTGTCTCCTCATTTGTCTGTTTTTTCCCCCTGTGTATTAGAAAAGTCCACTATATCTCCTGATATTGAAGGTCCTGTGGTGCCCTGGTCACCAGAACCAGGCGCTTCAGGGGTGTCTCCTATGTGGGTACTTGTGTCCTACTGTTGTGGCTGAGCTGCATCTGCCTTCATCCAGTCAACTGCAGTGGCCCCACTTGATCTACTCGGGGCACACCAGGCAGGGTGTAGTCACTGAGGGCCTGTGGCGGGGCAGTATCAGCAGTCAGATCAGATGCCTGTTCTCAGTCTGTTGAGGTCACAGTAGCACGGGTCAGCAGGGTCCTTCCTCTGCACATCTGGTCATAAGGTTCGATTCTCGGGACTGCAGGCACATCCGTGTGTGATTATCTTCCCCTCTCCCCAGGGCAGGAGCCACTCTGGGGCTGCTTGCAGGGTATGTCGGGACAGGGTGCTAGCAAGACAGGTGGCGTCTTCTGCTGGTTCCTGCAAGTGTCTGGGTCTTATGGTGCGGGAATGTTCCTGGAGAAGTTTCCTGACGATCCCTGCCCCCACAGTGTACATTCTGAGATTAGTAAGTCTCCTTCGCAGATACCCCAGGTGCTTTTCAAGCTGTTGCTTCTATGCTGTGTATCTACCAGGTTGTGATGCAGGCTCTTGGAGCTTGGCACCACCAATTGTAAAAACTCTCAAAGCTAAGGCCCACTGGCTTTCAAAGCCTAACGTTATGGGGACTCAGCCTCCCAGCACTGGACCCCTGTGCCTACAGCTCCTGGTGCCCCTCCTCTTCGTGGTTAGTCTCTGCCAGGGCTTAGTTCCTAACCACGTCCCACCCTTCTTCCCCTTGCTGATGTGGCCTCCTCTCCAGAGTTAACTGTGGAAGGTCTTCTGCCTGTCTTTAGGCCGTTTTCAGAGTTAGTTGCGCTCATGTGTCTGTTATCTCAGTGTATGAGGTAAGCTTGAGATCTTCCTGTTCCATCATCTTCCCAACAAACAGCACATTTTAAATTATAATTAATTATCTCATTTATTCAGCCTGATGATCTGTATTTGTTTTCTTTCTTTTATAAAACTATGTAGAATTGCTATGATCTTCTGGTGAGAAAGAAAAGACTTATTGTTCTCTTCAGCCACTGGTTACTTCATGCCTATGGAATAATATCCATTTCCAGAGTGGATAAACTCGAGCAAGATTTACCCCTTTTGGCTTTGGTACCCACACCAGCTCTTTTTTACTTGTTTACCGCAAAATTTACCGAACCTTCACGAATACTCTCCGAAGGAGCCAATGGACACTGAATGTAAGAGCCAAAAAAACTATAAAGTATTCTTAGTAAAAAATATAAAATGTATTCATACTCTTCTGTTGTACGTGGAAATAAGATTGGGTTTGTTTTTTGACTTACCAGGCTTTATGGTTAGACTTGGAAAATACAAAATAGTCTGTTGTGTAGTAGATACACTACAAGCTTGTTAGGAACCACTTGCCTCCTGCATCGATATTGTTCTTCTGTAGAGCAAAATCATGTTTCTGGAATAATCTGCAATTGTTAGCATTGGCCTAATTTTGCATGTATTTGTTTTTCAAGTGTAATTATAAGGACTGACATACCTTGTTGGTCTGATAGCAAACATGGAAGTGAAGTACGTTGTTTGTTGTATCTATTTATTTTTACCAGCACAGTATTTTGATTATAAAAATAGAGCATAATTTATATAACAGGTTTTTTATAGGTAGTTTGGTTGAAGACCTCTTCTGGTTGTTTCTGTTAAGAAAAACAATAAAATGCTTAAACTACAAAAAGAAAAAACCCTCAGATGTTCTGACATTTAATTGTAAATTGTATTTTGACACAATAATTGTGGCAAAAATTCAAACTAATTATTGAGAGGAAAATTCCTTTCCCAAATGAATAAATACATCTATTCACATATTCCCTCCTTCTTAGGTCTCCTTTTTAAAGGATCTGTACCAGTGCCATATTTTATTGATCCTGAAACTTTTTTTTACATGTGATATCTGTGACTTAGGATGCATCTCAGAATTGATGCCTTCTTAGATTTAACGAAATACAGAATATATACCTAGTTTTCCTGTGGTTAGTTGTTGAAAGGCATGCTATGAATTTTCTGCTCTGAAGCCTTTAAGAGACTCATGTGGAACCATGGACTCAAAATAAGGTTAGCACTTAACCTAATATTCTGACCATGTTTATCCATTTGTATTGTTTAGAATGTTATTTACTGTTTCTGCTGTTCATTGGGGATTATTCAGGTTTGTTAATCTCAGACTTAAGACTTCCCCTGACCACTGCAAAATCTGAAAGAAAATGCACTTACTTTTTTTGTAGTTTTGTTTGTGCCTTTTGAATTCACAGCAGTTGTACCTTTGTTAGTTTTTCTTTGTTAATGCTCTTTTCATAGTACATTTAACCACTGGGGAGTAGACTTTTTGGATATGAACCTGTTTCTTCTTCTTTTCTTCTGTATGAGTAAAAATAAATAAAATATAAAAATTCTATGTATCTCACACAAGTTTGGGTGGTTATTAGTATCCATTAAAAATTCTAAATTTCCCAGAGAATCCTCACTTGGATGACTGTATAATCTGGGACTGGAGGTGGATCCCGGGAAGTCAGTGTCTGCTTACCAGGGCCGTATCTGTCCCACTACTTTTGGGGCTATTTTAACAGTTATCTTCTCTGATTTCCTATTCTAGCAGAAAAATGTGTATGCAAAAGGAAGAATCATAGAATAATTACATTCCTCAAATGCAAAGAATTTCAGGCATAATGAAAGCAATTAAAAATGCACATATATATTTAAGAATAAGATCAGAACAATTCATAGCAACTGTGGTTGCTAATGGTTTAAATAATTTGTTGAAACATTGTCATTAAAAATATAAACAGGGGCACCCAGGTTACTCACCTGGTTTAGCATCCTACTCATGATTTCAGTTCAGGTCATGATCTCAGTTTGTGAATTTGAGCCCCACATCAGGCTCTGCGTTGACAGTGTGGAGCCTGCTTGGGATTCTCTTTGAAACATTTAAAAACAAAACAAAAATAAAAACATATTGCCCTTGTCCTAGGTTCAGGTTTGTTCAGGGTTTACTTAGGTCCTTGTAGGCAATCATGACACTCACTGCTGCAGTGCATGGTAATTATTTTGCTAACCAGTGCGGATAGGTCATTTAAGGGTCAAAATGTTTTTATTAATTTAGTAATTACATGGTTATATATTTGTCTAAAACTATTGGTTTGCAAGGCTTGCTTGCACATTGGAGCCCATTGGCGAGAGGTCTAAAACATGCCCAGATCCCACCTCCAGAGATCCGAGGTAAATTAGTCTAAGGTGCAGCCCCAGCAGAAGGATTTTTAAAACCTCGTCCAGGTGATTCTAATCAAGTATGGTCTAAACTCTCTACCTAGTTCAGATCTTAATTTTTCCAAGAGACTTTGACTAATTATTTTAAAAAATTTTAATTCTGCTTTAATAACCAGCTTCTTTTTCAGAATTAAGTGATCAAAATATAACTTTATCAAGTCCTTTTCATTACTGTAACTAAAAGATATCTGATAGCATACATAAATTTGATCTTTCTTTAAATATCGGTAACCTAAATTATATGGTATAAGACTTGGACTTTTTAAATTTTAAAACGAAATCATTTTTAATTCTTTTAAAAAAATCTGTACTCAGTTACTATTTGATTTGGGAATACACATTAAGAACTTGTTTACCTTTTATCTGGAAGGACTGTGAAGGCAAAAAATAACAGTCTTAGTTTTCAAGATGAATTCTGGCATTTCAGGTTCTGACAAGCCTGTCCTCCCCCTTGCCAGTCGGTACCCCCCGGCACATGTCCACTCAGCCAGACTACCGCAGCCCTTGGCCGGGGCAGGTCTGCTGCCCTTTCGGGAAGACATCCCTATGTATTCCCAACACCTGAAGAAGGCTTAGAAGTGCCTCTCTACCCTTTAGTAGCCACTCACTATAGAAGGAGCCCCTTGTATTCTTTTTTTTTTTTTTAATGTTTTGTTTATTTCTAGGAGAGAGAGAGAGAGAGAGACAGCGTGAGCAGGGGAGGGTCAGAGAGAGAGGGAGTCACAGACTGAAACAGGCTCCAAGCTCTGAGCTGGCAGCCAGCACAGAGCCCGACGTGGGGCTTGAACCCACGAACCGCGAGATCGTGACCTAAGCGAAAGTCGGGCGCTTAACCGACTAAGCCACCCAGGCGCCCCGAGCCCCTTGTATTCTAATCAGCTCTTTGCTGGTTTATTCTCAGGATGTATGTACTTTGAGGTTCAAGGACCCGGTCTTATTCAGTTTAGTCCCCGCAGCATTTGCTCTAGGGCCGGGCTCAGAGGTGCCCCGTGAGTTACTGAAGCTAGTGGCAGTGTTCTCGAAGGAGAGGGCAGGGCCCTGCAGTGACAGATTATGTCCAGGAGAGGACAGGAGAGGGCTGCTGAGCTGCCATAGATCAAAGGCTTCTCTACAAGTCCCATTACTTTTGAGAAGCCGTTCAACAGGGAAAGTCCAAAAGCCAGATTACAGGTGGCTCCGAGATGATAGGTAATCCAAGGGGCCATAGATTTCAGGAGCTCTGATGAGTGCCTAATTTGGGTCTCATGCTTTGTAATGTCCTGTTAACTATCCATGTTTTATAATCAGGGAAACCTAGGGAGTAGGGGTTAAATAACACGTAGGAAGCAGAGCTGAGATCTGAGCCCACGTCCACCTACCTTCAAAGCCCACATTGTGCTGATGCTCTAGGAGCGGAAATAAGTGGAGTTCCTTTCCATTTCAGAGACCTCTCCCTATTCCTTAACCGAGGCAAAGTCTCATTCCCTGTTAGGTGTTCTCACCGTTCTGCTACTCCTGTGAAACCCTTATGACAAGGGGTTTTACCTACATTTGTATGATAACTGATTCTCCCCTATAGGAGAGGTGGGAAAACTATAGCCTGAGGAGTTCTCTGACCCACAAACTCTGCAACTGGCCCAGAATGCCGTAACATTAGCACCAACCGCTAACTTCCCTACTTTTGACCCTTTCAACCATGGAGCAACCAGAGAAAGCCAGATACACTTACTAATGAATCACATACCCTGTCCTGCCCCCAGCTTCGCCGTGCCAACAAGCTCCAATTAGAGCACACCATACACAATACACCTTTCCCATTTCCCTGCCGGCCCTTTGAACCTCTGCAAAAAACAAGGGATGGTAACTCTCACTCTCTTGCTATACCAAGTTTTATGCCTCAGCTTGTTTGTACGTAGCTGGTCTTCCTTTATTTTCACACTGCAATCCTCTACTTTCCATAGAGTTCTCAATAAGACAGTCCGCAAAATATGTGAAAAATGGGAATACAGTTACTCAGTGGGCTTAGCTTTTCAATCTAATCTATGTACATTTGCTCCAACATAAAAAATCCCATCAGGTTTCAGACAAATATGAAAGTCTCATTTGTGTGAAAATAGGGCAACTGATGCTTTGAGGTGATTTCGCTTTTAAAATTCTGCTTGATCTACAGTTGCTGAGGATGGTCTGACTTACCAAAGAAAATTTTACAAAGTGACCAGGGCCCACCAGCAACCCAGTATTCACTTATACGTAATAAGCGGCACCAGAAAAACAACTTTTAGGCTGATAGTTTAGCCACGAAAGTCTTCACTGGTCACTAAAACATTATTTCTTTTGTCAGTACCCTGAGAACATTGGTTTTACCAAATATTGGAATATTTTTAATCTCATCACTTCCTATCTTATTTCATTTTCTACAACCTACCTTTAAAATTGCTTATCTAATGACATTCTTTAAAATGACACCTCTAGGGGCGCCTGGGTGGCTCAGTCGGTTAAGCGTCCGACTTTCGCTTAGGTCATGATCTCGCGGTTCGTGGGTTTGAGCCCCACGTCGGGCTCTGTGCTGACTGCCAGCTCAGAGCCTGGAGCCTGTTTCAGTCTGTGACTCCCTCTCTCTGACCCTCCCTTGCTCATGCTGTGTCTCTCTCTCTCTCTCTCCTAGAAATAAATAAAACATTAAAAAAAAAAAAGTTTAAAAAAAATAAAATGACACCTCTAAGGGCGCCTGAGTGGCTCAGTCGGTTAAGTGCCCGACTCCCGGCTCAGGTCACAATCTCATGGCTCGTGAGTTGGAGCCCCACATCGGGCTCTGTGCTGACAGCTCAGAGCCTGCTTCAGATTCTGTGTCTGCCTCTCTGCCCCTCCCCAACTTGTGCTCGCTCTCTCTCAAAAATAAAATGACATCTCTAACAGATCTGTGCACTTGCTAGATGATGTTCTCATTTTGCCACTCCATTTCTCCTCTACACTCTATTCTCCTTCCTTCTCCCAGCCCTTCCTACCTCCATCATCCCTCCTTCCCAAGGGATTTGACCCCTGGGACCTCAGGGCTGTACCTGTGCAAGGATTGACCTCCATTTCCTACAGCAGCCAGAATGTGGACAGAGTTCTGTGGCCTTCACGTCTAACGTGACATTAGAATAAAAACTGAGGATGAAGTTGATCATCTTCTGGAGAGACTGGACTGCTTGCTCTTAACACAGTCATGTTATATAGAATGTGTTACATCTCAGAATCCCCAGAAGGCGTCACTACCACTAGATTTTCAGAGAAGGCAATAGTTGCTGTTTTTAATACTAAACTCAGGAAGAAAAGGTAAAGTGATGTTTCATATCCTCTGCTTAAGAAGATAAGAAAGTGTATAAAAGGATTTAATAAGACCTTTAAAATAAGAGTTTAAAAAACCCAGAATGAAATTAAGATTCAGTTATTTAGAAAACTCACATAGGTGGACAGGATTTGTCTCACACTGCTGATTGACCACATTCGGCCCCACAAAGGAGAATCAGTGTTTAGGTGAATGTGACATTAGTTAGGGATGGATTATTAGGGATAACTAAATTATTTGGTAAGGTTTTTTTTTAATCCCTTTTTTAATTTTGATGTTACCAGCCACAGTAAAATAACAAGAGGTTCTTTGTTACCCAAAGCTTTTGAGAGGTTACTTACTAGAGAGGTCCGTTGTGGATTCCTGTTCCACAAGTAAACGCAGCTCTTCAAAATTCCCTTGTAGCCAGGTGCTGATACGCTCAATGTTTTCATCCCTTTCCCACAGCCTCTCTGTTAGCTTTTTTATTCCTTGCAAAGTCTCACCACCACTGTTTACCAGTTCCTTTAAAAAAATAACATATTGCAGTGTGTAAATCTAAATTCCAACAAAAGAAATAAAAACATTCTGAGTGAATCATGTCCAGGACAAAAATATATATACAAAATTGGTATTACTCTTGCAAAAATACGTGTACACAGCACATTCACAAAGTCCTGTCAGGAAATCAGTGGATTAGCAAGTGAGGCTATTTAATGACATGTTCACTGAAGTCCACCTTTTAACTGGGTAGGATGGCGGTAGTGGTGGCGGCGGCAGCATAAAAGCCAGCTCACCTTCAAAGCGGCACAGAATTTCAGACCATCTTCAGCATGGCTTACATAAGAGAACTTTAGAGTCAGGCTGGATCTGAGTTTTAAGGCCCCATAAGTTCATGAACTGTTTGTTCTTGGCAAGTTACTTAAACTGAGCCTCAGTAGCTTCATTTGAAAAAGGTTTAAAGCTAAGCCAGGATCATACGTAAACTTAAAATGCTTAGAAAGTGGCAAAGCAGGATTTAAACTCCATCCTGTCTGCCTTTATAGTGGAGAGGGGTGGAGAAGTAAGTTAGCAGGGCTGGTAACAGAGGACAGATGAACTTCAGACCTGACAACTGTGTCCTAAAATAGTGTGCATTCAATTTGTGTTTCCGGTTTGGGGGTGGGGGAGTCATTCCCTTTAACCATACCAGTAGAGTAGGAAGACAGTGTCCCGAAGGATTAAGATTGCATAGTGACATTTGGCATGCCTAAGAATAAGACAACAGCCCCAAGTGGAGTCACTTACACTGAGCCTCAGATCACCAACGTGAGAATCAATTACAGTTTTGGCTCTCTGGGACATGGAATCTTAAACCTGTCATTCAGGAATCATCTAATCAGCACTAGTTAGGTCATCTGCTTGATAGATGACTGCCATCCACTAAAGAAAAGTGATCTTTGCAATAACTAGTCTGCTTTTTTTTTTTTTTTTTTTTTGCTTAGTTTAACTTCCCTGTTCCTGCTCCCTTCTGCCTAAAAAAGTCTTCTATTTTGTATAGCTCCTCAGATGCTGCTTGATTCATGAATCATTGAGTAAAGATAATATATTTAAAATTTACTCAGGTGAATTTTGTTTTTTTAACAACATAAAGCACACATTTTAAGATATGGGTGGCTATTGCCACTCTCCTTCAATCCTGATCTCCTACCTTAGGTGTATGCGTGTACACACACACACACACACACACACACATTAGGTAGGTGAATATTTTTAGAAATATATTATTTATGGAGACAACACAAAAAAGCTCACCTTAACCATCGTCTGAAATTCAGCCCACAAATCCAAATACTTCCCTAAAATAAAAATTTTCAAAATTCAGAGGTTATGGAAATGTGAACATTTTTATAAAAGTAATGCTGTTTTCCAAAAATTATGTTTATCTAAACATTTCTACTTCCAAAATGACAGAATAACTGGACCAGACTTGCCCTCCCACTATCTGCAAGAAGAAAATATATTAAATATATTTGTTTTCCTATCCAGTTTTCAGATACCAGGGAATGAGCAGCACAAAACTATGGTACCCGGAAGTAGAGTGACAAATGAGGCAAGCCCTGTAGTCACTCGGCTTACTGCTGAGGACACCTTTGCAGACCTGAGTGCAGGTAGAATTAGGCAGGCTTGCACACAGACACAAAAACCTGTGCAAAGATTAGCAAGCTGAATCCAGCAATGTATAAAAACAGTAGCAGCTTTTGAACAAGTGGGTTTTATCCCAGGAACTTGGTTTAACATTCCAAAATGAATCGATGGAGGGGCACCTGCATGACTTGGTCTGTTAAGCATCTGACTTCAGCTCAGGTCATGATCTCACGGTTCGTGGGTTCGAGCCCCGCGCTGGGCTCATTGCTGACAGCTCAGAGCCTGGAGCCTGCTTCAGATTCTGTGTCTCCCTGTCTCTTTGCCTCTTCCCTGCTCATGGTCTCTCCCTCACTCAAAACTAAATGTTAAAATAGTTTTTTAAAAAATCAATGCAGTTTACCCTCCTAACAGCAAGGAGGAGAAACCCCATGTGAGCATCTCCATCGACACTTGAATAGCTGAGGCTTCACAGGCATGGCACACCTTCATCACCAACTACCTCCATACATACCTTGAATGCCCAGGCCGTAGCGCCCCTGCTTGGCACCACCCTTGCAAGTGCTGTCACATTATTACTGGGGAAATAAGTGCACCTGTGTGACTACACTGGGTGAGAACACCTGCAATTTTGCACCTGGTTTCCTCTACATGTGCACTTTCCTTTGCTGATTTTACTGTGTATCCTTCACTGCAGTGAGCAATAACCATAACAGCTTGAGCCCAGTGAATCCTTCTAGCTAATCACTGAGCCTAAGGATGGTCTTGAGGACCCATACTAAAACACATCAGAGCTGCAAAATCTTGCTGAGGAAAATAAGTTCTAAACAAATGAAGATACATACTGTGTTCTTGGATTGGAAGACTTAATTTTGTTAATAGGTCAGTTCTCCCCAGATTGGTTTACAGATTTAATACAAACCCTATTAAGATCCCAGCAGGTATGTGTAATTATAGATTAATAAGCTGATTCTAAAACTTATATGGAAATCAAAGTACCTAAAATAGCCAAAATAGTTCTAAGAGAGAAGCACAAATGTGGAGAACTTCTGTTACCCGATTTCCAGGCTGAATATGAAACTACAGTAATCAGGACAGTGTGGTATTGGTATAAAGTTAAATATTGAGAAGGAACAGATGCATAAAACTGATATCTGAAAAAGTCATTGGGGTAGTTCAATACTAAAAAGATAGTCTGTTCAAAAATGGTGCTAGAACAACTGGATATACATAAGAGAAAATGAAATTCAACCTTTACCTCATACCATGTGTAAACATGAACTTGAACCAGAGATGCAGACATAAAAGTGAAAACTAAAAACTTCTAGAGAAAATACTGGAGAAAATCTTTGAGAACTTGGCTTAGGCAAAAAATGTCTTAGTACACAGAAAGTACTAACCTTAAAAGATGAATCAGATAAAACAGACTTTATCCAAAGGAAAGATTTTTGCTTTTTTCAAGACAACCATTAAGAAAATGAAAAATCAAGCCTTATACTGAAAAAGGACTCATTTCCAGAATACACAAAGGTTTTTAACTCCACAATGGAACACAAAGCAATGAGCAAAAGATTTGGACACATGGCAGACTGTATTTTCCAGGGATGGCCCCACAATACATCCTATCCCACATGCTCTTCGCACAGTGTGATGCTGACACCCCCACCCCCCATTAGTGATGGTGTCTTGTGTCCCCACACCCTGTACTTGAGATGCTAGCTTTTGGAACAGAGCAGGCCAGGCAACTACACATAGACTCCAGCTGAGAGCCAGAATCAATAGAAGACATAGTGAGTGAGTGGGTGGGTCTTCAGGTACTTCCAGTCCCAGCTGCCAAATTATCCCCAGACATCAAGATGCCCCACCTAATGTCATGTGGAGCAGACATGCGTGGTCTCCACCAGGTTCTGGCCAAATTACCAATTTGGGAGCAAAGTAAGTGTAATATTTGTTATGCTGCAGTGGATAATTGGTTCAAGGCACTTCACAAAGGATGATATACAAGTGGCCAGAAAGCACATGAAAAAATATTCAACATCAGTCATCAGAGAAATACAAATAAAAGTCACAATGAAATACCATTATATACCTATTTAAAATGTCTTCAATGTTAACAATTTTAAGTGCTTTGACAATGTTGATTGTTGGTGAGGTTGTGGAGTATCCCATTGCTAGTGGAATAAATTTGTACAACCACTTTGGCAAATTGTTTTAGCAGTTCCTTACTGCCAAGTTAGACATACACTACCTATACAACCCAGCAGTTCCATCCCTTGGTATCTACCCAAGAGAAATGAAAACAAATATTCATAAAAATGAGTGTAAATAAAGAATAACCAAAACCTGGAAACAATCCAAATGTCCTTCAGCTGGTGAATAGATAAACAAAACATGGTAGATCTTCATAATGGAATGCTTAACCATACAGCTATAAAAAGGAGCAAAGTAATGAGACATACAACAACACAGATGGATCTAAAAAAAAAAAAAAAAAAGCTTCCTGAGTGCAGAAGTGTGCATATTCCATCATTCCATTTGGATCTAATCCTTAGTGATGGAAAGCAGATCACTGGGTTCCCGGAGCTGGGAAAAGGGTGGGAAAGCAACCACCAAGGGACACCCTTTATCCCTGAAAAGGGAAACTTTACAGGGATAAAAATGTTCTCTATCTTACTTGGTTGGGGTGGCAGTGATTACAGTGGCATGTGCATTTGTCTAAACTCACTTAAGATGGGTGCATTTTATTGGATGCAAATCATTAAAAATTTATTTAAATAAAAAAAAATTTATTTAAATAAAACATCTATTCTTTATATGTAAAGGTCACCCATTACACATTACTTACTCTGATGAACTATCAGTTGCCAAGACAGGTCACCTGATGCGCCCCTGAGGTCTTCTTCTCTTTTTCTGTATTGCTGTATGTTGTCCTTCATATCTGCAATATACTGGAAATTAAAGGCATGTGACTAAGCAGTTGAGATACTGTAGATTAATTATCCATTGCAACCATTCAGCAAACATTCATTGATCCTCCTCTGTGCCACTGACTACTCTCAGTACAGGGGTAACCGTGAGCAGAACCCTTGTTAAGCTTACATTCTGATGAAGGAGCTAAGGGACCTGGTGTCCCAGTCAACATTTAAGCACCCAAACAAAGACTGCATTCAGAATATAAGTTGCCACAAGAAGAGATGAAAAGATATTCTGCCCAAATGCATTGTGTCCACTAATGAAATATTGCTCTGTATGCAAAATGTGTGTGCAGTAAATATGCCAAGGCAGCCATGCTGCCAGACTGGAGGAGCTGGGTGGAGGATCTCAGAGAAAGGATTTCTTGAGACTAGAAACCCCACAGATGTGCTAACTCCATTCAGATGTTTCACTGGGTTGGGTGATGGTGGTAGTAGTGGTTTGGGTATTGAAGTCATTGCTTTCTGTTCTGACCACTCAATGCTTAGGGATGCTAAACTCTATAAAGTCTCTGGGAACTCTGAAAGTATGGGCTTTAGATATAAACTTGGCACTGACCCAGTTTTAAGAGAAATAGTCAAATACTAGAAACTACTGATTAAAAAAAATCTTAGAAATTGCATCCAGTACCAGAGAAGTAGATGTGAAACTGTTTAGTCATGCAGCTTGATCTTGTGTCAGTCTGCATGGCTTGTCAGCAGGTTTTGTAGTAAACCAAAGTGAAAACCCCTGTAAGCCAAGTCCAAATCATCATCCCTGCCCCTCTTTGAATGTGAATCACTGTTTGTAGACTTGTCTAGTTCAGCTGGTTTCCCACAACTTTCAAATGTATTAACACACTGAATTGTAATTATCTATTTATTTGCCCACATCCTCAGCTAGACTATGAGCTTCCTAAGGACTTGGGGCAGTGTCTTATTCATCTCTGCACTCACTGTGCCTTCCCCAAGGCTAGGGACTCAGTGGGGGCTTTTGGGATGTCATCAGCAAGATGGAGAGTGGTGAGTGAATAAGAGAACAGCACCGGGTCATTCGGGGCCTCATAGATGGACAATACATTAAAAAGGAGAACTTTTAGAATCAGTTTTTTCAATGGTCATCCATTTGCTTACCCATGACCAAAGTAGCAATAACAATTCCAGGCATTTTATTTATTTATTTATTTTTAATATTTTTATTTATTTCTAAGAGAGAGAGAGAGACAGCATGAGCAGGGGAGGGTCAGAGAGAGAGGGAGTCACAGACTGAAACAGGCTCCAGGCTCTGAGCTGGCAGTCAGCACAGAGCCCGACGCGGGGCTCGAACCCACGAACTGCGAGATCATGACCCAAGCGAAAGTCAGACGCTTAACCGACTAAGCCACCCAGGCGCCCCCTCCAGGCATTTTAATAAATAATCTATGTCATCTTGATAGAAAGACAGTCTTGTGGAATATTTCCATGAGTAGATGAAATGCCTTCTAAGATCTTTTCAAGGGCTAGAAGAATGAAGCTGTATTGCATGTGTGCAGGTTACTGATGATGGTGTCTGGGCTCTGGAGCACATTTACCTTTTCAAAGTGCATTAGTATCTCTTATGCGACTTTAATTATGCCAAAAAAAACCCACTGGTACTCATACTCTAGACAACTGATGTGATTTAAATGATGAAAAGAATTACCTAGAGAGGTAAAGGAATGTTTCCCTTACTCAGTGTCTTACTGCCGTGGACAGTTTTTATTTCTCTAGCTATTAAAAGTTATTAAAAAAGATATAGAACCTCAGTTTCCTCATGTATAAAAGGAACATAATATCTTATCCACCTTAAAAGTCCCATTGAGCATCAAATGGGACTGAATCCCTCTCCTATGGCACTGTGCAAGACACTTGGGATACACTGATACAGATCCTCACCTTGAGACCAGTGTGGTTTACTGGAAAAAAACTATACAATCAATACAAAACAGACAACCTAATGTTTTAAATGGGTAAAAAACTTGAACAGGCACTTCACAAAAAGGTATACTCGTGGCCAACAACATAGAAATAGATGCTCCATTAGTCATCTGGAAAATGAAAATTAAAACCACAATGGGACACCACTACACATCCCCCAGAATAAATGGAAAAAGACCAGGGTTTGGTGAGAATGTGGAACCAATGGTGTTCTCATGGACCCTGTTGGGAGTGGCAATTACTACCACTTCTTTGGGACAGCACTCTGCACTAGAATGGACAGTCCACATCCTTATGGCCCTGAGATTCCACTTGAGGGTTATATACCCAACAGGAATATGTACATATGTTCCCTCAACATACATGTACTAGAATATTCATGGCAACACTATTTCTAATAGCCCCAATTAGAAACTCTCTAAACTCCCCATCAGTAGAGTATATAATTGTAGTATAGTCATACACCTGAATACTATACATCACTAGGGATGAACAAACCATACTACACTCAATAATAAAGATGAACCTTGCAAATAGTATTGAGCAAGATTGCACATTGTATCATTCTATACATACAATGTTCAGAAACAGACAAAACTAATCTTTGGTGTTAGTAGCCAGTATAGTGTTACCCATGTGGGGAGGTTAGTAACAGGAAGGGACATAGAAGATACCTGGATACTGTTAACACTTTGTTTCTTCATCTGCATGCTGATTACCCACGTGTGTTCATTATGCATTTCACTTATGATTTGTGCACTTATCTGTATGTACTTTAAGCTTTATTTAAAAAGTGTTAAGAGCTATAATCTCCTTTTCTCTCATAACTGTTACAGGTTTAGGCAATCAATTGAAATCACCATGTAAAGTGAAGAGCTCTTGAACTTACTTTTCTTAATTTTTCATTTTCCAAGAGCAAAGCATCCACTTTTAAGTCATGTACATAGATTTCATTTTCTAAGTTCTTTAAAGTTTCAAAATGACTTTTGACCTTATGGCTTTCTTGATCTCGTAAGTATTTTAGTTCTTCTTTCACTTTTTCCTGCTCAAACATAAAACCCACAATTATCACAGAGTTAAATAATCAGGATGCCAGTGTATTAGATTGCCCGGAACCACATCCAGAGAGGGGGTCTAATTAATTCCTGAATCATCAGCAGAGGCTATGCATACCTTCCCTTAGAAAAACTTGATGTTTAAAACTCCAAAATTGATTCACTTCTGGGAAGATGGTGGAGTAATAGGATTCTGAGCTTATCTCAGTCCATGGGCACATGGAGATAACAGCCACATTGTGTAACTATCTGTGAAAGTAGCCTGAAAACTGGCAGAACAGCCTTTCATAGAGAGGGGCTCCACTGAAAAGGGTAGGAGTGGTAGAGACATGGTAGGAACCCAAGCCCTGGCAAAGATAACCACAAACATTAGAGACCCAACAAGAAGCCAAAGGAAGAGACCCATACCAGGCACCCTAGGCATGAGGGACTCACACTGCGAAGACAAATCCCCATGACATTTCACCTTGAAAAACAGTGGGGTTTGACTTCTTGAATCTTTACAACCAGCAGGGCTTAATTCTAGTAGTTTAAAAATCAGTAGGCTTAGCTTTGGGAGAGCTGGAGGACAATAGGAAATTAAGTTCCCACCCTTAAAGGGTCAACATAATAACACAACATAGAAGGAAGTTTGAAAAGCACCTGGGGTATATATGAAGATTTATTTACTAATCTTAGAATATATTCAGAATGCCCCCAGTCAGAGAAAAAGGGATCTTTAGGAGATGGTTGAAGAACAAAAGTGCTACTGGATACCATTTCTCTTCCTCTTCCTCCCCCCGGCACCCCATGCTAGTTGGCCAGATACTTACAGGAAACAGCATAAACACTCTCTACCTATCTTGCTGGCAACTGGTGCCCTGCCCCTATATTCCTCTGCAGATTAGCCTAATCAATCTGCCATACTCCAAAGGCATCCCTCCAGAATGGCTCCATGACACACCCTGCAAGCATTCCCAGCAGAGACCAGCACCACTCCAAAGTGACTCCTTCCTTAGGGAGAGAGGAAGATATCCACACATACCAGTGTACCCACAGTCCCAGTAGCTGAACCTTATGGCAACAGCACAGTGAGAGTACACTGCTAATCAGTGAGACTGCAGCCTCAGCAGACTTACTGTGAGCAGGCATCTGGTCTGAGTGCAGGCCATCTCAGAGGATGAGGGGAGCACCCTACAGTTTTGTGCAACTATAGCTTCACCAGATGGACTGAGCAGGCATCTGGTCTGAATGTTGACACCACCTAACCAGAAGACCTCAGCAGCCCCAGACTGCCTCTTTAACAACACAGAGACAAAACCCTTCCTAGTGCACATTCTATAGGCAAAAAGAGCTATTACAACTGACTTGACTGAAGGCAAACATGGCTCAGCCACAACAGTGGGCTGATACAACACACAAAGGCGGTGCTACTGAAATGCCTGGTTCTGCTGAACGGGGAACACTGCACCACAGGGCACCATAGGCCCTCTTCTTCATAAGGCCACTACTTTCAGCTCACTTTTCTAATACATAATAAAAAACAGAGTTAGACAAAATGAGGAGACAGAGGACTATGTCCCAAATGAAAGAACAGGATAAAACCACAGCAAAAGAACCCAATGAAAAAGAAATAAGCAATATGCCTGATAAACAACTCAAAGTAATGGTCATAGGATATTTACTGGACTTAAGAATGGAAGATCTCAGTGAGACCTTCAGTGGAAATATAAAATATAAACAGAACCAGAGTGAAGAACTCGATAACTGAAATAAAAAATATACTAGAGGAAATCAATAGCAGATTAGAAGAGGCAGAAGAACAGATCAGTGATATGGATAAATGCATGTTATGGAAAGCAGCCAACCTGAACAGCTAACAAAAAAATATACTAAAAAATGAGAGTAGGTTAAGGAACTCCGTGATATCATCAAGCATAATAATACTCACATTATAGAGATCCCATAAGAAGAAGAAAGAGAGAAGGGGGCAGAAATTTTATTCAAAGATATAATAGCTGAAAACTTCCCTAATCTCAGGAAAGAAATAGACCTCCAGATCGAGGAGGTATAGAGAATTTCCAACAAAATTAACCCAAAGAGATCCACGAATAGTAATTAAAATGCCAAAAAGTAATGATAAATACAAAAATTTAAAAACAGTAAAATTTTTTTGATTAAAGCAGTAAAAGAAAACAGTTATATACAAGGGATTTTTCAGCAGAAACTTTGCAGGCCAAAAGGCAGTGGTCCGATATATTCAAAGTGCTGAAAGGGGCATTTGGCTGGCTTAGTAGAGCATGTGATTCCTTATCTCTGTGTCATGAGTTCAATCCCATGTTGGGCATAGAGCCTACTTAAAAAAAAAAAGTGAAATCAAAGTGCTGAAAGAAAAAAACTGCAACCAAGAATAGTTTTAGCAAGTCTGATATTTGGAATTGAAGGAGAGGGAAAGAGTTTCCCAGACAAAGTTAAAGGCGTTCATGACCACTAAAGCAGCTTTACAAGAAATGTAAAAGGGAAATCTGAGTGGGGGAAAAAAAAAAAAAACCAGCATAATCAGGAGTATGAAAACTATGAAAGGAAAAAATTTCACAGGTAAATGCAAACATATAATAAAAGTAAATTAATCACTTATAAAACCAGTATGGAGGTAAAACACAAAAGCAGTAGAATCAATTATATTTATAAAAATCAGTCAAGGGATACACAAAATTTTAAAAATATAAAGTATAACATCATATACACAAACATGGGAGGTTAGTAGAAATTCAGTGCTTTTAGAATGGGTTCAGACTTAAGTGACCATCAACTTAATATGGAATGCTATATACATAATTATACATGAACCTAATGGTAACCACAAATCAAAAACCTGTAATAGATACACAAAAAATAAAGAGAAATGAATCAAAGCATAACACTAAAGCTTTCAAACTAAAAGGGAAGTGAACAAGAGAAGAAGAAAGCAACAGAGAAAAGCTACAAAACAACCATAAAACAGGTAACAAAAATGGCAATAAGTACATACCTATCAATAATTACTTTGCGTGTAAATAGACTATATCCTGCAATTATAAACATAGAGTGAATGAATAGATAAAAAAGCAAGACCCATCCATAAAACAGATTAACTTCAGACCTAAAGACACATGCAGATTGAAAGTAAAGGGATGGAAAAACATTTACCAGGCAAATGGGATAGAAGCAAAAAGAAAACTGAATAGCAATACTTCTATTGAGCAAAATAGACTTTAAAACAAAGCCTATATCAAGAAACAAAAAAGGACACTACATAATGATAAAGGGAATAATCCAGCAAGAGGATATAACAATTGTATTCAACAGGAGGATATAGCAATTGTAAATAACTATGCACCCAACATGAGAACACCTACATAAAGCATCTGTTAACCAACAGAGGAAGAAACTGTTTCTATTATTGATGTATAATAATAGCAGGGGATTTTAGCACTCCACTTGCATCAGTGGATACACCATCCAGACAGAAAATCAACAAGGAAACAGTGGTTTTGAATGACACATCAAACCAGATAGACCTAACAGACATACTGAGAACATCTCATCCAAAAACAGTGGATTACACATGGAAACTTCCCCAGAATGGATTACATGTTAGGCTATAAAACAAGTCTCAATAAATTAAAAAAGACTGAAATTACATCGCAAATCTTTTCTTAACACAGCAATATGAAACTGGAAGTCAATCACAAGAAAAAAATCTGGAAAGAACACAAATACATGGAACTTAAATAACAAGCTACTAAACAATGAATGGGTCAACCAAGACATCAAAGAGAAAATAAAAAAAATACATGAAACAAATGAAAACACAGTGATCTAAAATCTTTAGGATTCAAGAAAAGCTCCTCTCAAAGGAAAGATTATAGTAACATGGTACTACCGCAAGAAGCAAGAAAAAATCTCAAATAAACAACTTTACCTTACACCTACATGAGCTAGAAAAAGAACAAAGCCCAAAGCTAATAGAAGGAAGGAAATAATAAAGATTAGAGCAGAAATCAATGAAACAGAGACTAGAAAATGAATAGAATGGATCAATGAAATCAGGAACTGGCCCTTTGAAAAGGTCAATGGAATTGGTAAACTGTTAGCTAGACTCATCAAAAAAAAAAGGACCCAAAAAAACCTATAAACGAAGGAGTAGAAATAACAACTGACACCACAGAAATACAAGGGATTATAAGAGAATATTATGAAAAATTACATGCCAAAAAATTGGACAACTTAGAAGAAATGGATACATTCATAGAAACATATAATCCCCCAAAATGAAATCAGAAAAAAATGGAAAGCCTGAACAGATCAATTACTATCAATGAAATGAAATCAATAATCAAAACAGTCCCAATAAACTAAAGTCCAGGACCAGATGGTGAGTTCTACCAAACATTTTTATTTATTTATTTATTTTAGAGAGAGAAAGAAAAAGTGTGAGCAGGGGAGGGGCAGAGAGAGAGGGATAGAGAGAGAATCCCAAGCAAGCTCCACACCGTCAAGTGCAGAGCCTAATGGGGGACTCAAAAACACAAACTGTGAGATCATGACCTGATCCAAAATCAAGAGTTAGATTAGATGCTTAACTTGACGAAGCCACCCAGGCACCCTTCTACCAAACATTTAAAGAAGAATTAATACCCATTCTTCACAAACTATTCCAAAAAATAGAAAAAGAAGGGAAGTTTCCAAATTCATTCATTTTGATAGCAAAGCCAGATAAAGACATTGCAAGAAAACTACAGATGAATATCCCTGATGAACACAGATGCAAAAATCCTCAACAAATTATTAGCAAACTGGACCCGTCAGTACTTTTATTCCAGAGATGCGAGCATGGTCCGAAATTCACAAATCAATCAGTGTGATACATCACATCAACAAAAGAATAGAGAAAAATCATAGGATCATCTCAATCGATGCAGAAAAATCATTTGACAAAGCACAATATCCGTTTGTGATAAAACCT